TCATTGTCATTGTCATTGTCATTGTCATTGTCATTGTCATTGTCATTGTCATCATTAGAATAGAATTCGAATTACTGCAAACTTCACGTAATTTATCACAGAGTGTGTCACTATTTGACTTCTTCGGGGCAGTTCAACTGCGACTACTTAATTCAAATTCTCAGACACATTTTATTTTTTATTTTCTGCTCGTCGCTCGTCCGTTCTTTATCTGTGTCAGCATTTCAGTTAGCAGTTGTAATCTTCATGCATTGGTCATGTGCGAAATTGTTGCCCAGATGCTTATCAACAGACGCCAGCGCGCTGCGTCACTCACTGGCCAAAGGTCGACCGAATAGGGGCTGGGGCGGGTCGTGGCTGGGCGAGCAGCTGCGTGTGGGCAGCTGGAATATTTATAACGCCATGGCTGCAATTTATTATGCAGTGCTGCAGGCTAGCTGTCTGGTATCTGGACGTGGTTTTGCTTCAGTCGCCAGTCGCCAGTCGCCAGTTGAACGTCACCAAAGATGTCACCTAGGGCTGCAGTCGCCTAACCGAAAAAGCCCCATTCAAGATTTATGCAACCGAGTTATGGCGCAGCAGACGGCAAACGGCTGACGGCAGACGGCAAAGGCAACTTCGTTCGACAAGGTTTTTGTGTCGCACCCCAGGTTTTGCGGCATTGAAGAGGCCTTACCCCAGGCCTGATTCACTGCACTTCTCTCCTTTGTCGTTGCTGCTGCTGTTGCTGTTGCTGTTGCTGCTCGTCTTCCTCTTTCACGCTGGAGGTTGAGCCGGACATTTCCTGCTGCCGTTGCACGTTATCAGCACAAAAGTTCTTGTCGTTGCCGGGCTCCTAGTTTTTTGTATGTTCATTTATAACTGGATATATGTGTGAAAGTATTTTTGCTAGGGATTTGCATGAGCTAAGCTGTGACTAAAGTTATTCGCAATTCGAATGTAAACCATAAACAAGATAACACAGCTTTGAGCTTAGCTTAACAGACATGGGAATGCCCTAAACGAGAAGTCGAAGAGGGCTGATAAGATGGCTGATGCATTGATGTGCAGCGCATCATCAGAATAGCGCACTATTCATGTTCTCAGTTGCTGTTGAATAATTTTCAAATTATTTGGGCTAGAGTTATACAACTTTATTCTATTAGACTCTGCTTTATTTTTCTCGAAATTAAATATCATTTCAGAAAATATTATAAAAACTGTTTTAGGTCGATTCAAGCTCTAAAATTCATTTATCAATTATTTAAGACTTTTTTTTACACAAATTAAAATTATGCATAAAGAAAATTTGTATGTTAAAGCTGACTTTTTTAATCCAATAATCACATAATTAACTTTATTTATTTTTCCACAATATTTTTGTTTTCATTTGGGTATTTTAGAAATTCATCTCATTCAAGTCGAGACTACATTTGCTTCTCTTTCCTTATCTAAATTGAAATGTGATTTACACAAGGGAGGGCAAGCGAAGCTAAATTTCTATGGAATAGAGATTATTTTGCTAAAAACTGTTTATCTAAAATTCATACACCCACACACTTACACAACTCATTTTTATCATGTTAGATATGGCGCCAGCTGTTAAATGCTTTGTTAATATGGGAAAAAACAAGCAGCGGCAGCAACAATATTGAAATGGCATAAATTTGAGTGATAAGAGCCCGCTTAAAGCGCCAGCCAAGAATTTATGGATGTCTTTCTCTGTCCTTCTCTCTCTCTCTCTCGCTCTCTCTCTCTGTCGCCCTAATGTTGGTCAGGGCGTGAGCTAAGCAAAAGTCATCGTCCGTTGTGTGCGTCATCATTATAATCATTGGGATTGGAAACGAGCAGCAGCAAAACTAATTAAGCATCGCATTTCATTTCATTTCCAATTCGGTTGCTCTGGGGAACCCAAAGGAAAACACACAAAATTGAGCAAAGAAAACTCGCAAGCGGAAAAAAACAAAAGCAACTGAAAATACGGAAACCAAAATCGAGATCGAAACATAAGCCAAATAAATTTCCGTTAGCAATGCGCTTTCATAATTAATGTGAACCAATTACAGCAGAGCGAACGAAACAAGCAAGACAAACCTGGTCGAAAAATTCGGCTATTGCTACAGTTACAGCTGCCGTCTTCAGATTGATGTATGTGTGTATGTGTGTCTGCATTACATAAGCACTAATCCGCATTCACATTCGCATTCGCATTCACATTCACATTCGCATTCGCATTGGCTTCCGCAACTGCCTGCCCCTTTTAGCAAATTCCAAATGTAAGACAAACAGCAAAATGCGAAATGAATGAAAAGTGCAGCGACAGCAAAAAACTGTTCAAACCCAATACGAGCGCAACCCAACATCATCATCTGCTTCATCATCATAATGGAAGCAGTGCAGTGCAACGAAAACATATCGAAAATCAAACAATTGTCTTTAGCACAATGGAACACTGGATTCATTGTGCCTGGAACACCCAGCAATTGATGTATTCCTCCCGTCTGACTGACGGCCAGTGCGGCAGTGAGGCAGCATCCCGGTCCCTGCTTTTAGCTTCAGACACCGCCTCATCCAGTTGCTGCAGCTTTGCTTGGTTTAATCAGCAGCTTACAAGAGTCAACAATGAGGCAAGAGGAGGTGAACCAGCAGCCAGGCGACATGGCGTTGCCGTGTAGTCCACCGTGCCACGCCCACTCACGCCAAAGTCAGAGAGTAAAAGGCAATATGAGGAGTTTACGTGAATGACCTTGCACGAATATTATATATACTGAAAAACGATTTCAAGAACTTATTACATATTTTTCTAGAAAAGTAAAGAAAGTGAAATATTGAAGTTGGCTCAATTGAAGATTTCCGATTTCAATTCCAATTCTGCATAAATGATTCACAATGAACTTATGAGTAAAGAACTTATTAAAATATAAGTATATTAAGTTTAGTTTTTCACTATATTTATGACAGGGTATCTTCGAGAATATCATTTAGTCGA